TGTCTGATATTTTTCTCAGTCCCATTCTCCTGCTTTCTCCCTGTAACCCTTAATCCCCATACTAATCAAGAATCCATCGATCTGTCTTCAACACATTCAATGACTGGGCTTCCACAGCCTTCTGCCACAACGGGTTTCAGAGATTCACCACCTTCTGGCTGAAGAAATTCTTCCTCGTCTCTGTTCTAAAGGGTCGTTCCTTCACTCTGAGGCTGTGTCCTCCGGTCCTGGTCTCTGCTACTCGTGGAAACGTCTCTCCAATCCACACTGTCCAAACCTGTCAGTATTCTGTAAGTTTCAGTGAGATCCTCCCTCATCCTTCTAAACTCCATTGGGTGCAGACCCGGAGCCCTCAACCGCTCCTTATATGACAAGCCCTTCGTACCCAGAATCATTCTTGTGAACCTCTCTGGACCTCCTCCAATGCCAGCACATCCTTGCTTAGATACGGGGTCCCAAAACTGCTCACTGTTAAGTGCACAACTGCTCTTGGAAATCTCCTGAATCCACATATTGCTAACTCTAATTTCCTCACTATGATGCCTTTGGAAAGTCAAAGGAATTGTTCCATTTTTAATCATTCCACTTTTGAAATCATTTGCTTTGTTGCATTTTAATATTACTTTCTTGATAAGTATTCATTTAGCAGGGTAAAAGTTTAAGATTCCTGGATTCTAATAATCCACCTGTTCTTGGGGTAGAATTCCAGAATTAGCAGGAATACAATCACTATTAGTGATTCTGCTGCCATTAATGTCAATTAGAAGTGGTGAAAATATTGAACTTGTAATATTTATCGAAAAGCACTGGAGCCACCATTTTTGATATGAACGAGCTGAGCTAAAGCTCGCTTGTGTTTCTATTTTGCAGCCTGGTTCTGTTTATTGGGTAGCATGGTGTAGTGCAACAACTGATGGAATGGATTTTGGTTTGTTTCTGTTTTTCTAGTCAGATTGTGAGTGCAAACAAATCATTTAAATTGACTTTTTAAAAATTTTTTTTCAAATCTTTCGAATTTGCGTAAATATTGTTTATATTTTACATGCAGCAAAGTGCTGCCTTCTGTCATTTGATGGAACTTGGCATTTTAAAAAAATCAGTGTATAATGGGGCATGTGTTAGAAGCTCAAACAGAAAAAGCTCAGTCATCATGGTCAGCAGTTTGGATTCTGTGTAAAAGGTTGCTGTTATTGCTGTTGTGGTTTTTTTGTCAGAACTCAGTTCTTTTACCATGTTCCTTTTTTCTTCTTTGAGCGAAATGAGATATAGTTCATAGGAGAGCAACCAAGACTTGTCTTTCCTTGCTTTCCTTGTTTAACGTCTTCTGTATGCACTGTTTTAGGACCTCCATGGAATGTGTGGAAATTTTTAAAAAAACATTTTTAGTGCCTGTTCTAGAGTAGCAATATGTTGCTTGAGAAATTAAAATTGTAACAGTGTAATGTTTTGATTAATTGACTATGGGCCAATACCAGACTATAAGTCATGTTTTAACAGTCCAGTGAAGTGCCATTAGGTGGTTTTGTTTTATGTTAAATGTGCTATAGAAATGAAAGCTATTAAGTAGTGTCTCATCTAAATGACCATATATTGTGTAGTACAAAACCTGCTGAGTGCCAAACTAAAATGTCAGCTGAAATTTGTGCTCAAGTCTGAAATGGAATTTGAACCTGAAACCTTCTGATTTTAGAGTCAAGGATACTATCCACTTCGCCTTGGCAGACATGTTTGTGATCTCAGTTGAGAGGTTTCTTCTGTGGGAATGATTTAACGTGCTATAACGAAATTTGCATGAATGTCAACAGATTCTCATAGTATAATCCCTGATTCTGAGATTATTGCTATTAGGTGTGTTTCAACTGCAAATGTGTTGTTTTTCCATCAGCACAGTATTTTAATGTTACTAATTTGTAATGGAATAATGTTTCTATCTCTCTGAACACTTGGTTTACTCATTCACTTTGACGTTTCATTATTCTTTGTCAATTGTATAGCCTAACCCATTGGAGTTGTGAACAATCTTGAGAATTTCTGTATCTCAAGCATGTTATGCCTCTGTAAAGTGCATGAGTTAATTTGCCCAAAGTTACATCTTGATCAGTTTTAGCTATTTAAGTGACCTGTTAATTTGCCATTCAGATTTTGTTTACTGCCTTTAGTACAAAGATCCAATTTAACAATTGTTGACACAGTTTAACAATGCAAACAAAGCAAGAAATTAATAATTAAGCAAGCTGTCAGTAATTGCCGTCTGTGTAGAAAACTAGATCTTAAAAATCTTTCACGCTTACATGATGTAGAATGGTATTGTTCTCTTACTGAATGTTATAGATTTTATATTTAAATTTTTCCATGCCATCTGTTTTACCTACCTGTACTTTTCTAATTTTTTTCCACTTGATGAAAATAGTTATGTCAAGTGGACAGAACTGTTTGGAATGTGGTGTTGGTAGCAGTGTTGTCAACTGAGCCTGTCAGGTGATACACTCGGGCTGCACAGGATTGTAGAACTTCCTGTATAGTCATGGAAGACAGCAGCATGTCACTTTCTAGATGTGATCAGCTAGTGTCAGTTGTTGTTAATGTGTTATGTGTTGCAGCTTGTTATCTGTAGCTAAGTGGAATGAGTAAGGGGAGAAGGTGGCAAATGGCCTTGCACAATGAGTGATGAGTATGAATGCACCAAAAGTGACTTCTGACAGAGGCTGTGAAGACTTGCCCTTTGAAGTGAGTGAGAAAGGAAGCAGCTGCTTAGTTTGAGCTCTTCCTACTCGTTTCACCGAAGCACCTGGATTCATCAATGTTTTTAAAACTTGTGAACTTTAAATATTCAACTGTTGGAATAAAGTATCCCACTGGATATTTGTATTTGAAAATACTTATGTTCATATGAAACATCAATTAATCTTAGAAATACTGAAGCAGTGATGTGTGCATATGCATGTCATTTCCTTCCTTTCTTTGTAAGCTGACTGTATAAATATTGACCAGGACAAACTAGCCTGCTCTGAGTGTTTCCAGCATTGTGTCTTATTTCAAATTTTTAGCATCGGTAGTATTTTCTTTTGCTGGAAAAGCTCAGCAGGTCTAGCAGCA